AAGATGGTATAAACCCTTTAATATCCTTTTTCTTTTTTCAGGATTGGTTTGGTTAGTTTAGTTTAGTTTTGTTTTTTTTAATTTCCATAGGAATTTTAGCATCAGCATATCAATTTATTTTTTAAATCCTGCTGGAATTTGGATAGGGATTACACTGAATTTATGTATTAAACTAGGAAGCATAGATATTTAAACAATATTGAGTCTTGTAGTCTATGAATATGTTCTTCATTTCAGTTCTCTTTCACTTCTCTTAGCAATATTTTACAATCCTTAGTGCATAGGTCTTGAATATCTTTCTTTAGATTGATATGTAGATTTTTTGTTGTTGCAATTTTAACTGGTATTCAAATTTCGTTTTTCAGTTCTTTGCTTGTACAAAGAAATACACTTGATTTTTGTATGTTGACCTTCTATCTTCACACTTGGCTCTACATTCACTTACTAGTTTTACTAGTATTTTGGAGATCCCATGCAGTCTTCTGTGGAGACAGGAAATTCACTAGAATGCACTTCATTTTTCTTTCCCAATCTTTACGCTTTTTATTCCTCTTGCCTTAGTGTGCTAAGATCATCTAGTACATTATTGAATAGAAGTGACAGTGGACATCCTTGTCTTATTCCCAAATCATAAGGGAAGGGGGTTCAATCTTTCATTATTATGTTACTGTTTCAGGTTTTTCATAGGTGTCCTTTATCAGATTGCAGAACAACTTTCTCTTTATTTCTAGTTTGCTGAAAATTTTTAATCAAGGATATTACATTAACATTGTCATGCTTTTGACATCACGAGAATCATGAGGATTTCCTTTATACTTACTGCAAATGAGGTGCTTGCCCCTTGGGATAAACCCCACTTAGTGATGATGTATTACAATTTCTGTATATGTTACTGGATGTGCTTTGCTAATATTTTGCTAAGGATTTTGCATCTAGTAGTAGCAGACCTTTGTACTTTAGGATCTTGTGCCCAAGCTAGTTTCTCACTCCTGTTATTTCAATGTCAGATAGCTTTTCCTTTTACTCATTCCTGGGCACCAATGTATCTTTTATCTTGGTCTGGTACTGGTGATGGCAATGTGTCCTGCCTTCTAGTAGTAGGCTGCTTATTGTTAATGGAGAAAACTTGTTTTAAGGTTGTGACCTGCCCCCTTCATCCCCCAGGCACATAGTTTTTGCTTACTCTTCCCTTTGAGTCAGGGGTCTTTCTTTGGGCATAAGAGGCTTTCCTGCATTTTCCTTCTGGTTGAAGGAGTTTGTTTTGTATGAGATGCCACTAGGGACAGAAGCTCTCTTCCATCCCTTGCCCCTGGCCAGTCTTTTTCAAGAGAACTCAGTTGAGGCCCTTGGAAAATCACTTGTGAATGAGTGAAGCTTTTCTTTCTGTCTGGTCTTCCAGGGCTTCTTAACAGTCATCACAGCTGGCACTCACTTTTACTCTTATCTTTAGTACTCAGTAGGTTTACTATGAGTATCTTTCCTTTACCTCTGTGGGTTGGTATTGGTCATCATTTTTGGAAAGCTGTTGGCCATTATTTCTTCTGCCTGATTCTCTCTTTCATCTTCTCCTAGGACTCCAGTTGACATTTGGTCTTGGATGTTTTGGGGTTTATCGCCGTACTTTTTTCTCTCTGTATTTCAATTTAGGTACTTTAATTGAGCCTTTCTTCAAATTCGCTGCTCATTTTTGTCTGTTACTAAACCCATCTAAAGATCTTTAATTTCCAAGACTGTATTTTTTTATTTCTAACTTTTCCCTGTGATGTTCTTTTATAGCTCACTGTCTATGATGAAATTCTGTTTCATTATGCATGCTGTCTCTCTCCCATCGGATCTTTCAGTGTTTTTATTATAGTTATTTTTAAAGAATATGTCTGATAATTTCAACATGTGGGCATTTCAACATCTGGGCTTTTTCTGATCTGATTGTATTAATAATTTCATCTTTTGATTATAGTTTACTACTTCCTGTCTTATAATTTTTTATTGGATGCTGGACATTTGTATAAAAACAGTACAGATTGAAGTAAATGTTACTTACTTCCAGAAAATGGGCCATCATTTCTTATGTTAGTCCGACAGTGAGGCCGAGTCAGTAAGGTGAATAGTTGAGCTAGTTCTGGGCTTTGGTGCAACTTTAGTTTGATGTAGTATAAGGGTTTTGAGAATGGGATTAGGACTTTACTTTCTTCAAGATTATTTGTGTGGTTATAATTTCAGTTACTTCTTTGTGCTTTAGATCTGAGCCATCAGCTTTCTGACCACTCGGCGATTTCTTTGCTTTATAGCCCAGCTGTCTATTCCTTGGTCATTTTGGAGTTCTTTTGGCTCTTCAGCCCTGTCTCAGGCTTTTTTCTGCCTTGTTTGATAACCTTTCTACTGGTAGTAATACCTTGCAGGGTTTTCTGCCAGCAGACCTTCCCTCCCCCAGCCTTGGTAGTTAAATGTCCAGACTATCTGGGTAGAAGTGTTTCTGTCAAGTCTCCTGTCCGACTGTAGCCCTTGGCAGCTGAGTGTCTGGAGATTTTTGGAGTGATTTTTTCCCCCTCCTGCCAACTCCTCCCCTCTTCTCATCTCTGTCCCTCCCCCCATCTGAGGACAGATTTATTGCATTTGAGGGAGACTGTAAGCTTCTTAGGGTATCTCTCAGCTTTCCAGCTCAGTCCCCCAACCTTTGACATATTTTGGCAAGCATTTGGTGAAGAAGACCTATGGGAATGAGTAGTGGTGTAGTACAGGTTTGCTCTGTTAAATCTTTGGAATTCTAGTGTCTTGTCAGCCCGCCTACCTGTTGCCATTAAGATGATTAAAGTTAGGCTGGTTTCTCCGTACACTCATCTATGGTTAGATTATTTCTCCTTGGACACTCCGGGCCTCTCTTCTATCAAGGCTCAACACTTTCTGAAAGTTAGTTCCACTTAGGTTACCTGACATCCTTAACTCTGATGGGTTCAGAAAAACCATGATTTTGTAGCTTATCTGGCTTGTTATGATTATTAGGGTGAGTATGATGGTTTGTTGTGACTTTCTACAGCCTGATGTAACTCCTGTCTTGGAATACCTTTTAATGTATGATCTGGTAAATGCCTGATAACATTTATTTAACCTCTAGTTCACTCTGTAGTATTTCTCTGAATACTTTTCATTTGAGAGAAATTTTTTTTAGTCTTCACTCAAGGATAGGTATTGATTTTGAAAGAGAGAGGTAGGGGGAAGAGGGAGAGAGAAACATCAATCAATTGCTCCCTGTCCACACCCTGACTGGAGATTGAACCCCCCAACCTAGGTATATGCCCTGACTGACTGGGAGTTGAACTTGCAACTTTTGGGGACAATGCTCCACCCAACCGCATCACCTGGCCAGGGCTTCATCCCAAATCTTAATTCTCCAGTTCTTTCTGGAGTAATTCTCAAGTGGTAAATGATCTTGTCTCTTATTTTGAAATTGAAGTCATCAACATTAAAATTTAATTGAGGGGCTTATGGAGAGTGTGGAGAGAATTCGTGGTAGGTGTATAGAAACCAAGCAAATTAAAAAACTAAGATAATTAACTGGAGAAAAGAAAGAGTAGCACAAAAAAGAGAAGCATGATTAGTAGTTGACTGCTAATCTATCCCATCAGGTACTAGAACTACAACTGGGAGTTATCTGTTTTTAAGGTTGGAGGAAATGGGGTGGTCGTGGTTTAAGTCCTCATTTTCTACAGAGCAATTAATAGATAATACCTAAACTTGATATTTTAAAGGTTACCATTATAAGCCTTTCATAGTAGGTCCCCTCTTATCATGAGAATATATTCCAAGACCTAGTGGATCCTGAAACCACCTAGTGGATGCCTGAAACCACAGGTAGTACTGAACTCTGTATATGCTGGGTGTTTTTTCTATAATACATACCTGTGATAAAGTTTAATTTACAAATTAGACACAGTAAAAGATTAACAATAACTAGCAATAAAATAGAACATTTGTAACAATATATTATAAGCTATGTGAATGTGGTCTGTCTTTCTCTCTTTGTGGTAAGCACTCTAATGACTGAGACAGCAGTTCAGTGACTTCCCGGGGATGCTCTGGAGAAAGGGATGAGTCACAGGGGGCAGGATGGAGTGGGACAGTGCTAGATTCCATCTGGCTACTGAGAATGGCACACAACTTAAAACCTATGAATTGTTTACTTCTGGAATCTTGCATCTGATTGTTACAGGCCCCAGTGAACTGGGGATAACCGAAACCCTGGAAAGTGGTGCTGGAGATGGGGGCTGGGTGGGGGGAGACTGCTGAGTTACAAATAGCAAATTAAGTACAAGTTCAAAGATTTTAAAGAATTGTAGCTTGATGTGAGAGTAGCATATCTGACGATACTGTGCACATTATTACTTAGCTAAAAATTAAAAAATATTTTTTAAAAGATATAATTAAATTCAAGGCTTAATTAAAAATCTTGCAAGGGATGTAAAAGTGAACCAAACCTTTTCTCCAGAGACTCTATTTACCTTTATTTCTGTATTGTTATTTACTTCACACTTGATTCCTTTTTTCTTCTTATAACTTTAGATTTTGTTTTATGATATCAAGTCAGTTATGAAAATTTAAAATTTTGAGAGAGTGGGCTTTTAAAGTGTTTTGGTAATTAGATTGAAGTCCTACAAAGTGAGAAAAACTTTTCTTTTGGTGAAAATATTTTAATTGACACTGGTAAAAGTTAAAGTAGTATTGATAGTGATAAACTGGTCCAACTTTGATAAAGATTTTACTTGCAGAATTACTCTATTTACCACTTATAACATTGTCTTTTTTGTAAAAGGATTATTTCCATAATTTGTTTAAATTAGTAAAGACATTTCATGGGTGAAGAAGAGATCTTTTGAAAGTCTGTTGTGAAAGTAATACTTTGAATTCCTATCTCATTTTGTATTTAATTTCAATGCCATATTGAAATTATTTCTTGATTTTAAAGTTAGCTAGCCCCTAAATTCCCTTTTTCATATCTTTTCTAGGTTAGATAAAGGAGGATATTTTCTTAGTGTGAATTGCTGCCTTTGGCAAGAACATGTCGTCCATCTTGCCATTCACTCCACCAGTTGTGAAGAGACTGCTGGGATGGAAGAAATCAGCTGGTGGATCTGGAGGAGCGGGTGGAGGAGAGCAGAATGGACAGGAAGAAAAGTGGTGTGAGAAGGCAGTTAAAAGTTTGGTGAAGAAGCTAAAGAAAACAGGACGATTAGATGAGCTTGAGAAAGCCATCACCACTCAAAATTGTAATACTAAATGTGTCACCATACCAAGGTAAGTGTCGTTAGAGCAGAAGCTTGATGGTCATCCCGTTGAAAACTGCTTAAAAGTATCCGAAGGAAAGTTACTGAGAGTTTGTCACTTTCGAGTCACCTGTAAATATTGATTATTAAAATAGTATAGCTATTTTTAGCCTGTCGTATTAATTTTGTTTTATTCTCTAGACTTATTACAAGTCATTTTCTTTGACAGTGAGGTTTAATCAAGCAAAATAAAATACTTTGATGGTATTTTTATCTTCAGTCTTCATTTGCCTTTGTTGCCTAAGTGCTTCCTTGTATGTTATCTAATTTCTGTGATTGAATGACATTTGAATAAAGCTTCAGTGTTTTTCTAGTGCAGTAATGATAATTTTCTCCCCCCTTGGTTAAAACTTCAGGCAGAAGAGGCTGCTGATGTTGTGATGACTTTTATATATTTTTTGTGTGAGTTGGAGCATTACGTCTAAGAAAGTGCAGTATGTGAGGCAGCTTCTTGGATGCTCCAGGTAGTCACACCTGTCTTGAAGACCTGCCTCTTGTATAGGAAGGACCTCTTACTTAAGAGGTTGAGTTTTATTAGTGTAAATTTATATTTAATCTATAACTAAATCTATAATCATTTATAGATGAGTATCACTGTCAGAAAAAGTGTTTGTTTTTAAATAATGTGGCAAGCAGTTTTTAAACATTTCATTATTTTTTTGTATATTACAGAGTTTTTTGGAGTGTCTGTATAAAAGGGGTCATTTGTAGTGTCATACACGAGGGCTAGCACACGCATACAGCACCTGAAAACATTCCACATGGCATGTTTCCAGTGAACTTTGGGAAATTCACTCTGGTTGCTTATTGATAATAGATCCAGTAACACCCAACCTACTTGCAAATACTAATAGTCGAATGTTTCCTGCCTTGTTTGGTAGATTAATTATTCGTTTATTTTACCTTGTTTCATGTATATCTCAAGTAAGAGTGACTTTTCTTGGTTTATTCTTTTGTTTTACCAATGATTGTGAGTGCCTAATGGGTGCAAGGTACTGTTTCTAGGCATGTGGGGATACAGCGATGAACAGAATACCAAGTTTCTGCCCTCACAAAGGATGGATGTATACACTAGCCATGTGGACACATTAATATGATTTGAAATGATAGTGAGTGCAAAGAAGACAGTGACTGAGGCATAAAAGAAGCTGCTTTGGATTGGAATGTGATGTTTAAGTTAAGCTTGGAGAATACCAAACTAGGTTAGGTTAGAGTCTTCTAGGCAGAGACAAGAGCCAGTATAAAGACTCGGAGTGGAAAGATAGCTTAGTGTAATGGAGCCCAGTAGAGTTGGAGTAATACAAAATGAATATAGAATTTGGGAGGAGTCAAGTCATAGAGGGCATTATGGGGCACTGTGGGAGTTTCAATATAGTCTAAGTGTAATAGAAAGCAAGTAAGGATTTAAATGGACTTCTAAAATTTAAATCCACTTTTAAAGTTTTTTTTTGCTTTTACAGAGACATCTCTGCCTGCTGGAGGTGTAGTGGTGGAGATTGTGGGGTGTGTATGTGTTAGCGTGAACGGTAGGTCTGGCAGCAGGGCGGTCGGAAAAGCAGGAGGCTGTTACGGTAGTGTAAAGGAGAGGCTGCAGGCTGGACGGGCGAGGCGGCTGTGCAGACTTTGAGTGGATGCATTTGGCATGTGTTTTGGAAGTAGACCGGTAGGTCTTGCTAATGAATTGGCTAAGAATAAGTGAAGCTTTATTTGTTAGTTTTTCATTGTGTAGTGCCCAGCATTTCAATTCAGTAAACATTTGTCAGCAAGAGCCTACATGTGTGACATGCTCTTCCTCATTGGAGTTAAAAATACAGTTTCTGCGCTGAGTTCTTACTTTCTAGTAAGGGGGATAAACTTTAAAAACTAAAAAAGATAATTTTTATAAGGTACAGTAGGTGTTAGGAAAGGTGTTTGCTTAGGGAGTTATGACTAAAGGAGAGGAACTTTTTCCTGCCTTGTGGCTTATGGAAAATTGGTGCCTGGACTGAATCTTGGTGGATGTAAGGGAGGAATTTAGTCGGGAGAAGCCCAGTTCATCCGGAGTAGCACTGTGGTATTATTGACATTTTGGCAGTAGGGGAGGACTGGTGAGGGTTCTAAGTTCGCTTGTGTCCTGGGAATGTAAAGTGGGAGGTGGGACTCCCCTGGAGTGCCACTTTGTAGGTGTGAGGAACCACAGCATGCTTGGCTGGGGAGTTGACACGGCACCTGATTATGACTGGGTGAGGGTAGATGCATTGAAGAGTCTCAGCTAAAGAAGACTCATAAAGCAGGTGGATTTGAAGCAGAGTGGCTGGCCACAGGAAAATGGTTGTGAGACCATCAAGAGCAGACCAGTGTATGTTCTCTCCCTTAACAGGGGTGTGATTCATAAGATGTGGAACCGTGTTTTCGCCCAGCTTCATCTAAGGCTTGAACTGCTGTTGCGGGAAATTTCTGACAGCAGGGCCTGATGAAGGGCTGTGCAGTTGTGTCCTTTAAGAAGGCACAGTAGGTAGCACCCTGTTGATTAAAATTCACAGATACTGGTATTTAAGCTGTGGAGGTCAGCCTAGCCACATTTCTTTTCCTTACTTTCCATTCCCCTTGTTATAGCCTGGTTAGAGACTTTTTCATGTTCTTGGACTATTTCATCATGAAAAAGTTATTTTCTACCCTTTTACTCAATGAAAGTGAAGTGGTGGTTGTCTGTTACCTTGTTTTTTTTTTTTACTATCAAAAGTTCCTCGAGGCTTAGAAACTTGCTTGTCTAACTTCGATTTTTTTTTTAATATTGTAGGAAATGCAGATTTGTTAATATTGTTTGAGTCTATCCAACAACTTAAGCTTCTTAGACTATAGTTTGGTGCGGTGTATTTTATATTAGTAGTAAAATAGTTACATCATGTCAGATGATTAATCATTTCTTAACTACTAACTGTCTTTAAAGATTCAGTCAACTCTTAATTATGTAGACTGTAAAAGGTGGGGAATGAAATGGAAAAGGTCCATTGTGGATAAATCCAAACCATAGTTTAAACAAAATTATTTAAAATATAATGGTAAATGGATTTAATGTAAGTTTATTTACTTAAAACTGCAAGTAAATTTTTAATAAAATACCTTAAGGTTTTACAAACCTGAAAAATACAGACAAGTTAAATTTGATGAAGAACGTGAAACATAAATTTCTTAATTTAGAAGTATGGCAAATGTTTTTTGTTACAGTATCTGCCTCACTAACTTTTAACAGCATTTCTTCCTGAGGCCCTCACCTCCGCTTAGCGTTAGAGTAGGACTGAACTTATGGCAGAAATGTAGTTCCAGCCTCATGTCCCTCTGTCCACCATGACATAATTACTCTGCTTTTATGGTTTTGTCTCCAAAGGGGCAGAAACTGTAATTACACATACATGTCACTGCTTCTTTCCACTGTTGTATGCGGTGACACAAAGCGACTCATGGGTAGGACTTAATCTCAAGCTGCAATGGGCTGAATAATTTAAAAGTTTCATGAATGTTTTTGCGTTTCAAACATTTTCAAGACTGAAGAATGGATGACTACTCAGTTGTTAAATTGTAATGGTAGCTGATCTTTAGTTAAGGAGTCAAGAAATATGGCTTCCAGTGCATATTATGTATGATAAACAAAAATTGAGACTGCAGTGGGGATGGAGATGCTATAACATTAAAAGCAAGGGCCTGTGGGGTCTAAAACAGCAATTTTTTATTCTGTGTAAATGTGTAGGAATGTGGAATTTATTTCATAAAAATAAATTATAAGGTCTTTCCTGAAGTGGTACTTTGACCATGTAATCTTGAGGAAAGCAATCAGGAATATGGACAAGATTTCTGATTGATTTCAGTATTCAGTATTTGTAATAGCAATGAATTAGGAGAAATCCAACCCTAACTTACAGTTTTTTTAACTCTGATAATAAAGGAAACTTACCCAACACATTTTATACCAGAATTGATCATGAATAGTAAAAGAAAATTTTATACTAGTCTTACTTATAAAACTAGATATAAAAATATAAATAAAATATCAGAAACTAGAATTATTCAGAACAAAACCACAAAATTGCGATTCCACGATTTACTATTGCAAGAATGCAAGCGTTATTGATTCAACTACAGAAAGTCTGTTCATGTGAGGGACTTCATATTTAAGAACTCTGATCGTCCTGATGGATATAGAAAGAGCTTTCTCTAAAATTCAGTATGCATGTTAACAAATTAGAAACAAATTTTTTTGACTTGATAAAGCATATTTCTAAAAGTGTTAACACAATCATGAAAAGTAGAGAGAAATACACCAAATTATTAATAGTGTTTACTTATGGATGACATAAAAATTTTTTCCTAATATTTATATATAAAAATATGACTTTTATAAGAAGCACAATCAAATGTTTAAATAGTACTTTTGGACACCTTAGTCTAGTCTTGTCTTTACTTTTTTAACCTTTCGAAGTTAATTTTTCTGTTAAAGAACAATAATCTTTTTATTTTCTTAAAAACATTCTTTGAAAAATATATATGCAGTCATATCTCGGTATGTGTCGACTTCAGAACTTATCAAAACCTGTACTCGTTGCATTTTGACGAGAAAAAAATGTTTCAGCACTCGGCGCTTGCTTGGGACTAGCCACACTTTCTAAAACTTGTATGAGTCACGATGCGACCATTGCAAGAAAAAATGCTTCATCCTTGGGTACTTGTTGGTCTCAGCATCCCTCACGAGTTCTGGAAGGAATTAACGATGAGTACCAAGGTAGCACTGTATCTGTACCTATATCTGTTTTAGCCTTTTAAAAAAAAGTACATTCTTTAAAAACATATTAAAAAATCTACCAGAGGTTAAAAGCATCTCTCTCCCACCCGTGTTGTCACAGGGCTGGCTACCTAATTATTCTCTTCAGAAGTAATTGTATAACTAGTGTCTTACATATTGTTTGTTTCTTCTTAATACTGTCACTGACATTAGGA